TATGTATATAATATATATAAAAGTTACGTGTAAACGAATACAAACTCTTCTAGATTGATTTGATTTCTTATTATTTGGCGCTACTTACTTCAAGCTTCAAGAAAGTAAATTACTATTCCTTCCAGTTAACTTCAATAGATCTAGTTTTGACTTTAGAGTATTTAAATTTATTTTTTATTTTTTTAGAATATTATTTATGTATTTATTTTTATTTTATCTTTATTTAAAAAGATATTTATAATATATATTAAATAATAAACATTATTTAAGAACCTGTTTAATATAACAGTTAAAATTCAACAAATAGTGGGTAGTGGATAGTAGATAGCGGTAGCAGATAGTGGGTAGTAGGTGGTGGCTAGTGGATAGCGGGTGATAGATAGTGGAAAATGAGTAACGGATAATAAATAGTAGATTCAATAGATATAACTGTTTGATTATATAATAGTTAGCGGTTGTTGTTTAATATTAAATTACTAATAATGACATATTTAAAAATAATTAAATGTATTTTTTCTAAATATTTTTTATTTTTTATCATTAAAATTATTAATTTTACAAAAATAATAATAAGAAAATAAATAAATAAAATTAATTATAATAATGTAATTACACTCTCATTTTTATTTTTAACAAAGAAAAATTTATATTTTTTTATATAATCATTTTGTCTAATTAGAAAATTTTGTTTTTTAAGATAATTTATTTTTTATTGATAAATTAATGGAAAAAATAAAAATATTATGATCACTTAATATAATTAAAGGTAAAAAAACAAAATTGAAATTTATTAGATAAATATTAATTAAAAACTGTGATAAAAAATTAAAAAAGACAAATTTGCCAATAAAATTAAAAAATTTCAATCCACTAGCGGTTTGATACAAAAAACTATATAAATTAACTTTTTTAATCTACTAGTGGTTTGGACCATAACCGCTATTCGTTAATTCCAAACCACTAAATAAAAATTCTCACCAAACAACTTATTTATAATAATTTTAAAATATATGTGTTTACCAAACACTTAGCAATTTTGCCTAAACCACTAACCGCTATCCTAAAACCATTATACCAAACGAGTCCTAAATGGTGATAATTGTGATAATCTAGAGATAAA